GTGTCCAGGCCTCTCTCCGTGAGCTGCGACGCCGTCTCCTGCCCGCGTCCTCACCGTCTTCCCTCCACACGCGTCTGTGCCCAAGTCCCCCCTTCGGGTGAGGTCATACGGGACCAGGCCCACCCTCCTGACCTCACCGCCTCCTGACGACGTCCTGAAGATGGTGTTAAGGTCAGACTCCGGTTCAGCCTGCCTCCTTTGTAGGGAAAACTCCAGATCTTTTCCTCCCCGTCTGTCTCCCTTCCTACTCGCACAGAACCTGTCGCTTCTGACACTTGGGTGCACCAGACGTGTGGCGTTTTCCCCGCCAGCGAGCAATTCTGCGACGCGAACCGGGTCCTGTGCTTTAACTCGGTTCTGACCCTGTGCACCCGGGTATCGCGTCGAGCCCACAGGTGAAGGGCTCGGTGCCCCGAGACCGCCCCCCACGGCCGACGCCAGCGGCAAGTAGTAAGCCCCCCGGGTGACCCACGACTCTGCCACTTTGGCCACAAACCGGAGTTCCCACGATCCCTCCCCCAGGGTGGATTGATCCGCGAGAGCGCCTCACAGAAGTCGGGGAGCGAGGTCCGTGTGAGCTCCAGGCCCCGGGTGCCTGTGTCACTCTCCCTGCCCCCCCAGAAGCTCTCGGAACCCACGACTAGTGGGGTTCTATGGGGGCCTCATCACGTAGGTGTGACCAAGTATTAACTCCATTTTCTGTCCGTCTTCCTTCTCAAGAGAATGGGGCGGGGAGGGGGCTTCTGGAAGTCCCACGCTTCCTGAGAATCACCGCTTAGTCTTTCCCGTGACCGCCTCCACCCAGGAGCCCATCGGGAGTGGCCTCATTAGAACAGGAGACAGTCGGGGCGCCTGGGTGGCTCAGTCGGTTAAGCACCTGACTCTTGACCTCGGCTCAGGTCACAAGCTTGTGGTCCGCGGGTTCGAGCCCCGTGTCGGGCTCTGTGCCGACAGGGAGGGACCTGCTTGAGACTCTCTCCTTCTCCCTCACTCGCGTGCAGTCTCTCAAAATAAATAAACCAGGAAATGGCAAGGGTTTCAGGAGCCAGGGGTGGAGACCAACATGTTTTCTATCAGCTCACAGATCCTGTCTCCAAATTAAGGTCACATTCCAGGGCCCTGGGGCTAGGACGTCAGCACAAACCAACCCTCGACTCACCCCAACCCCAAGTTGCCATAGTTCCTGGCGTCCAGGGTGGGAGTTGGCCATTTCTGAGTCGGCCCCATGGAGCCGGCTTCCTCGGGCAGGGGTCCCCGGGTCCCACGTGGAGCAGGTGACCGACCTGCCGTGACCCACGCTGACGTGTGTGACCACCTGGGGTGGGCAGACGAGAGAAGAAAGAGCCTAGGTCCGGTCTTGGCCCCCAAATCCCTATGCCCCCTCTGCAGGTGCCCAGGCCCGCCCCAGACCACTTGCCTTCTCTCTGGTGGGTGGGGGCAGGTGACAGGCGCCCCCGCCTGCCGCCCCTGAAAACTCCAGCTTGCAAACGGCCTCCTGTCTCAGGGGCTGGGGGTGCAGACCCCCCCCCCCCAGGAACCACAGATTTAGCAAATGAAAATACGGGGCACCCAGTTACATCCGAGTTTCAGGCTAACAACGAAATCTTTCTTAGTGTGTTTCCCGAACGTTGCTCAGGACGTGCCGATTCTGCAAAACGGCTAGTTTGTCTGTTAGACCAGGCCGTCGGGAAAGACCTCCGAGGAATGTTCAGCAGAGACGGTGAGACGGAGGGAGCGCGGCGCCGGTCTGGGGGAAAGCGGGGGCACAAGGGCTCTCGTGGAACAAGTGCAAAGGGCCTGCAGTCGTATGGTCTTGGGTCTTGGCGCGAGCTCCTGAGAAAGCAGTTTCTGGGCCCCGCCCCTGACTTGGGGGGGGGACTCACGGTTTTAAAGAAGCCCTCTCTGAGTCTGCCTTCGTCACTCCTCCTTCTAGAGGTTTCTGCACACGTTGCAGGGGGTTCTACTCACAGTCTTGGGGGTAGAGCCAGCAAGCCCCCCGGGGATCCCCTGGCCAAACCCACTCCGGGGGCCTCTCAGGGCCTCATCGAGGAGCACGGGGCCACAGCGAGGGGCCAGGTGTTTAGTTCTGTGTGTTTCTGGAAGGAGCCTGGGAACAGGTGCATGGTCTTGGAGAAGCTGCTGCCCCCACCCCCACTCCGGCACTGGCTCCCCCGGGGGAAGGAGAACTTCCCCGCCGGCCCTGCCCCTGCCCTGCGACGGCGGCACCCGGAGAACTGAGACAGGAAGTGGGTGGCGGCCGCAGGGAGGGCGGCACCCGTGCAGGCGGTTTACGTGGGAGCCACGAGGACCTTGCCCCACGGCCTCTTCTGGTGGCTTCGAGGGTCAGGACTTGGAGAACGTGGACACGGGACTTGAGCAGAAAGGCCTGGCGAGAAGTTGGAGCTTCTGTGACTTCTGTGCACTGACAGGCCCGCAGCCCCTGTGCCGGCGAGACCCCCGCCGAGGTGAGCGAGGCCCCAGGCCTGTCCTCGCTCGCTGGGTCTCCTTTTCCTCTGGGGGCTGTGGTGCAGCTGAGCCCAGGAAACGTGTGACGTTGCCGTAGAAACGGTAACCCACCCAGGTGCCTCACAGCGGCCCTTCCCCCTTCTTCCTGCCTGTCCTCCCTGCTGACTTCTGAGGTCACGGGGAGGGGACTCGGCAAGGGCAGGAGGCACATTTGGGGGGCGTCCCGTCCAGCTCGTGACGGAGGCGGCACGGGAGAGCAGTGTGCGAGAATCTGGCCCTCCGTGGCCTGGCTCTGTGACCTTCGGTGAGTTACTCAACCTCTCTGTGCCTCGGTCCCACATCTGCAGAACGGAGGTGGTGACAATCATGCTTATACCGCACGGGGTTGTCATGACGACGAAACCGGGTAACATTGTCAGTTCTGTGCTCGGCAAGTGCTCAACAGGGTGCCGATGACGTTAAGGGCTCTGATTACGACTGCGGGGGCGGGGGGGGG